TGACGGTTAAATTAAAATAAATAATATTTAAAATAGTATTTAATAATTATAATAAATCTCCACAATTAATATTGTAACACCCCAAACTCATGTCGTTCATTTTATGCTTAGTATTATTTTTCATGGATATTATTTATGTTTAATTTAATGATTTATAAAGTTATTTGTATTTTTATTGTAAGCTTGATTTTATGTGATAATTAAGTGAGTGTCCACACTCATTTACTTATCAAGTTAATGTTTAAAAAGGGAATTATTTAGATGTCCTCATCTATTTAATTTTCCTAAGTATTAATGCAATAATAATGATATAATTTTAATTATGAAATGGCTTAATTTAATTAATATAATTTTAATTTATTAATGAAGATAATAATTATTAAGATGATAAATTGAGCTCAAAATCAGTCCAATAACCCTATATAATTTCCCCTTAACCGTACATGTGAGAAAGAGGAAAAGACTTTTCTTTCCTACCAAGTCATAGTAAGATGGAAGGAAATCAAATGCCTTATCACATTAGGAGTCCTAAAGCCACTTAAAATCTCTTTAACCCCTTCCTATATAGAAGGCCTTATACCATAAGAGATTAATCTTTTCTGATCGTAAACACCTCCTCCTCTCAAAATCTCTTCCTCTCTTAAATCGTGCGAAAAAAAAAAAGAACAGGTCCTTTTCTTTTCCTTTCACGAGCGAGCCTTCTTCCTTCCGACCAGCACCAGCCCCTCCCGCGAGCAGCAACCGGCAGCAACAAGCCACGCCCGACGATTCCCGCAAGCCTCACGTCAAGGCCCCGTGCACGAGCGAGTGAAGCCGAAGTCCCAAGCCGTTTCATTTTCTCGTTTCTTGAGCGAGGTAAAACAACCATGATCCTTTTCCCTCTGGCCGAGAATTATGAGTCTAATGTGAATTCTAAGAGATTGATAATCAAGAGGAAGAATTCTAATATTTTTTTTTTATTTAAGGATTGATGACTTGGTTTGTGTATTATGTGCTTATGTTAATTGTATAGCATGAGTTGAGATTGATGATGGATTTTATGTGTTTAAAAATGTTAGAGTTCAAGTTCAAGGCTGAAGTGATGAGTTGAGGAGTTAAAAGTTTTATTGTTCAAATATGGTTGATGAATTCAGATTTCATGGCCTCTGTTGTGAGCCGTTTTTGGCAATCATGAACTCGTTTCTTGGGAATGTGTTCTTCATGAGATATGTGGAAAATTTCGTTTTATTTTTGTAGGTTTTGGAATCTTGGGAATCGGAGTTCATATGGATTTTATATGATTTTTACAAGTCAGTTCTGCGTCCAGTTTTTCTAATGTCGGGCTGTGTATAGGTGCTGAATGTATGGCCTATTTTGATGAATCAATCGTGCTTATATGCAGTAGTGCTGAACATAAAAATTGTATCTATCTGAGTTATGTTTCAGAAGGAGTTAGAATTTTTAAAAAATGAGTTCAAATAAATTTTATGTGATTTTTAAAAGTCGAGTTGGCATCCAGTTTTTACATAGCAGTGGCAGGTTAGGCATGTTGAATGTAGGATCGGTTTTGATGATGTTATCGTGCCCGAATGCTTATGTTTTCTTCATAAAAAGTGTAACCCTACTTGTTTAGTTTCTGTAAGATGTGAGATTTCATGATTTAGAGTCTTCCAGCTCAAGTTATTGATGTTTTACTAAAGTTTTGTATGAATGAAAAACTGGAAATGTGCTATTTTTATGTCTGTGTCTAATTTGACCTTTATGAACTGGTTTCTTGAAGGTGAGTTCTTCTGAAAAAAATTAGTATTTTCTGTTATCTTTATGTGGCTGCTAGAATCTTGGAAAAATATGTTTATTTGAGTAAGTTATGATTTTTACAAAATTGTTGCGCGAGCAGTTTTTCTTAAATCCAGCTGCAGTTAGGTCTGGATGTTTTGTGTGTTTATGATATGATAATGTGCTCAAATGAACCTGAAGTCTTCATTGAAATTGTAGTTCTATGTGTTACCTTCCATGTGGTTCTGGAAACAAGCACAAATATGGTCCGAGTGGTGAATGATACTTGTTTTTGTAAAACCGCGCATGAATTTATTTTAAAGTTCTGGACAGTATTTTAGCTTTGAATGTTTGCTGGTTTTGGACCATGTATATGACCTTATTTGCTTTTGAGTGCTAAATAAAAGTTGTAGGTGCATGTTTTAAGTTTTAAATGCCACTGGTTTCACATTTATATCATTTGCGTACTAAAAACTATACTTGTTTTACTACTGCTGGGTATGCTGAAATTTCATGAACTAAGTGTGGTGATTTCATAAATGGTATATTCCTTCCTTTTTCTTTTATGTGATCTGTTTGAACCAAGATGACCTCTTTGAAGTTATCATGAATCTTAGATGCAATTTAAGTCTTTTAAGCAAGCTAAGTCATCAATCCGCCTAAGACATTAACTAAGAAGAGTTTTCAAAAGAATGCAAGCAAGGCGAAGCCAAGCGAGCAAAGTTTTTTCAAAAGCTTATGTATGATTATAAGTATAAGTATAAGTATAAGAATAAGTTCCATGTTAAGACACTAAGACATGACCCCAATGAATGTAGTTTTACGAGGAGTCGAGCCCTCAAGATTTCTTTCAAGTTCAAGTCTAAGCCGAGCATTCTACCAAAAAGGTAGGGGAAGTTCTACTTTATTAATCTTCTTTAATTATCTATGCTATGAATGAAGTTAAGTAGCTTGCATAATACCCATGTTTATACAATGATCCAACATTCGAGCAAGTCGTTTGTTGCAGTACCAAGGTTCACGGACTATAACTCTAGAGGGTAGCTATGTGCTAGGGTTAGAGGGTGTAAGTGATTATGTGTAACCTTCGTTGGTGCACTCTTCGAACGGTTGTCCCCATCGATAAGACTGTACGGAGCCTAGTGAAAGGCTATCTTCCTTCAACCTATTGAAAGGTACCTTCATCAAGCCTATTTGGTCGTGCCATCTGCGAGAGGCATTGTTCTTCCACCACCATAAAGTGGTATAAGAAGTTTGATGAGTGGTGGGAGTGTGACAAGAATGTAATCGCCTGCATGCAAAGACTCTAGTGTTTAGTTGTCTAATAGTTTTGTAGAAGCAAGAAAGTCTTTCGACTTGTGGGTCACCACTCGTCGGGAGCACATGACTATGTGGAGTATACAAAAATGATTTCATGTTTTATAGTTGATTAGGATGATAACGTAGAGGGATCTCTCACGGAGTAAGTGGAAATGTTCACCCCATTTGTTTTCCACACCCAGGTTTTTGGCGAGCTGGCAAAGGAGCGATGGCGAGGGTGGTCACATGTTTTTATGTTTATGATATTTATGTTTTAAAAGCTTCCGCTATGCAAAGTTTATTTTATGAAATGAGTCATGGTTCATGTAAGTCTAGATAAAGTGTAAGTTCTCAAGGCAACGCCATGGAATGTTCTATGTTCATGTATGAAATGTTTATGTTCATGAAAAGTTTTAATGTTTATGAAAAGATCATGTATGAAAAGTTTTTCAAGTGAGTAGCACCCTGAGTTCCAAGTAAAGTTTTCAAATGTTTTATAAAAAGAAAAATTTATTCTAGAAATTCAATGTACGAAAAGCGGGGTGTTACAAATATTTATTTTAAATACACAATTAGGCACATAAATTCATTTAGGCAATTAGAAAAATAACAATTAATATTAATAATAATAATAATAATAATAATAATAATAATAATAATAATAATAATAATAATAATAATAATAATAATAAAATCCAATTTATTCATAAACGAACGGAGCGTTACAGATACGGCGCGTGACCAAGAGACATAGTTGTTACCGTCAAAGACCTCAGCCACAATGATCGCCCCGTGGTTATCACTGGGATGCAGAAAGTATGGAGAGTTTGGATCGTCGGAGAGACGAACAGCCATGAAACCTGCAAGAGAAAATAAAGAATAAACAAGATCTAAAGAATAACAACACAAATTGAAATCAGAAGCGTACAAAAAAACAAGAGTGTTTGTACAGATCTGATTAGAAATTGTGCAGATCGTCAGTGATTTTATCAAAAGCAAAACGAAATGGAAATGTCGATTTAGGGCAAACCAAACCAAATCGATTCAAATCTGTGAGATATAGAACAGATCAAAGTCAATGAGATTCAATTATTACCAAATCGATGGGAGATGAACAGATAAAAAATATCGATAGATCTGGTGATAACAAAGAGAAAAAAATAGGTTTGATCTTAATGTCGACCAAACAATCGAGAGATTTAGAGATTCAGAGAGACAATAGATGCAGCGGAAAATCGAAACAAGATCGGCGATCAGCCGACGACTGATACCATGAGAAGATCAGAATCAAAACACTGAGATGTAGAGAGCATATGAAGAAGACGAAAAGAGAGAGAAAATATTATTGCTGAAAAATAATAGTGGTGTTACTGTACATCTGAGAGCTATTTATATGAGAAAGATTGAAACCCTAATAATACAAGAAGTGCTATTCCTAATACAAAAGTGCTAAACATGTTTTTATAATAAAAGATAAAAGACTATTTACATATTATTTATTAATCAACTTCATTGATCTTTCAAAGTCTTTGCATTAGAAAAGTTACGTATGTAAGTTGTGTCTGTCTATATTTATGAATATTCAAGATGATTTGGTCCGCATAAGCCAACCAGGAAACTGGCTAGTTATTACCAACTCAAGTGCACTTCATTGAATATTTCAAACTGGAAAACGAAAATCTATGGAACCCCTTTTATAAATAAATAGCTTATTATTCTATATCCATCACAGCAGATTGTTACTTTTGAGGGTGTCTCTATTTCCAGTTTACTTTAAAGAAATCGCAATGAGTTTCTCTAGAGCACGTAGTTTTTTGTCGATTCTAATTAAAACTATCAAACTTCTCCCAAAAAATGGGAAAGTTATGTCCTTCATAGCTTTATTTTCCATTATCTCAACTTCAGGTGTTTTCTTCTTGTTATTTTACACCCTCGAATCCCTCGCGATGAATATCTTTGTTTCTTTCGACATGCCCAAACCCGATTCTTTCGACATGGCTGATGCCGATTCAAATCCATTTTCTCAAAATCCGGGCTTCGACATGGCTCAGTTGACTGGTCCCCTCAGCCATCTTCAAAAAGATATTGCGATTTTTCTCGCAGTTGAATTTGCTTACCTTTTCATCATTTTCGCCATTTTCTTCATCTCGGCGGTTTCAGTAATTTTAGTATCATCCTTTTCCTACAGAGCTGAGAACTTGTCGATAAAGGATCTATTCAGTCTAATGCGCAAAACATGGTTGAGGGCTCTTATTACAACATTTTACGTCTCCGCCCTTTGGGTCGGTTTCGTTTTCACCATTTCTATATTGGTTGCTCCTTTAGTTTTCTATCGTAATAATTGGACCTTGTTGGTAACCGTGTTAGTCTGGATTATGGCTTCAGCTCTCTGTCTATACGTGTCAGTCACTTGGGCTCTAGCCATTGTGGTTTCAGTTGTTGAAGAAAGCGTTTACGGGCTAAGGGCACTCGGAAAAGCTGCTGGGATAGTTGGGGGAAAGAAGTTACACGGATTCGTGATCAATGTTTGTTATAATCTTGTAATCTTTATTGTGTATCGAGTTTACAAGTTGGTGTTAGAAAAGCAGTCGATGGCGTGTGGGTTGTTGTTGGTGAGTTTCATTGTTCTGATGAAGATGTTGGTAGGTGTTGCATATACGGTTCTGTATTTCGAGTGTAGAGAGCAGCATCATGGTGAAGATGTTATTGAGTACAGTAAAGTGCAGAATGTGGAGTTGGTTAATGATATGGCTTGAATCAGGCCAAATTTCATTTTTTGTCCATTATATTGGTCATTTTTCAGAATGGTCCACTAATTTGGCGGACATCAAACTTGATACAATAAGTTGTAAAATTCATCATTTTTGGTCCATTAATCAAACAGGAGCCTACGTGGTAGACATCAAACTTGTCCACGTATTCGTCTGATAAAACGCCACGTATGCTTATGGACCAAAACTGATGAATTTTACAACTTATTGTATCAAGTTTGATGTCTGCCAAATTAGTGGACTATTTCTGGAAAATGGCCAATATAATGGACCAAAAATAAAATTTTGCCGCTTGAATCACATGGTGTAAGCTATAAGGTTCGTGTCCTTTGGTTTCAAATTTCATGTTTAATAATTTGGGAGTAAAAAGAAATCCAAATACTGCTATTTTGTTCTTGTGGGAGTAAGTACCTTTAAATAAATTTAATCATTGGGTCAAAATCTTTTTCACTCCATTATATATCTATTCTTTCTTTTTCACACCACCC